TACAACAAAGGGGAGGGTTGAACTGCCATGGCTCGCCGTAATCCAGGTGTTTTCACGCCCAGCTACGAGCGGAGGGGCGACCAATGGAGGAGGCTGCAGGTTCTCCAGGCCAAGGGGCTCTTTGCAATGCCATGGCGAAGAAGAGGCAGCCTACCCAATTGATGGGGCAAGGTAGAGGAAGACTGGGCAGCCTTGCCTGAGAGCCGTGCCGTCCAGCGCAAAGAATGTCACACAACAACAAGCTTGCTCCCAACTTTCCCTGACTCAGCTCCCTTCAGTAGGAGACTACATCAGCAGTATAACATGATCAATGGTTACAACTTTCCAAATCGGTCAAGACAACAGCAAGACATTACAGGAATGCCGCATGACCATGGATAACGACCGATGTACTAGGCCGCCGTTTGTTCCGTATTCGCACAAGGTCAGCGTTAGATGTCACTATCCGAATGCCGATTGTCCTCAAGCAGATGCATGGTCTCGTCATCTAAATGCTCGAGAATGTCGGTAGCAATACGTTCATCGAGGAAGCACGCTACCCACTCCAGAATGACGGCATTATCATTGGGGACAGCATCGGACATCGCTTGCAAAAGCAAATTGACTTTATCGGCAGTGAAACGCCATGCAAGCAAAAGATGCTGCTCCAAATGCGCTTTTATGAGGTAAATTGGAAAATCTTCCTGGCGATGCACAATGATTGGCCTGGCCCAGGCTAAAAGGGCATTCTGCTGTGGTCCAGGCGGACGTCTGAACATAGCCAGTAACGCCCCGTACTCCTGGGCAAGCTCGTTCCTCAGATCCTGCGAAAGATCTCGAAGGTGGTGTGCAAGCCAGGCGCGATGACCTCCAACAGAGTGCGCGAGTTCGGCCGCAGCAACCATGGCGAGGGTCCGTTGATTAGGACGTCCTTGGGCTGCCGAGGCATCGCGGATTCCTTGCAGTACGAGGAGCTTGGTGAGCGATATCCATCCAGCACTACAAGTGTGGCCGTGGCCTTCGAGGATGGGCTCGCTGGAAAAGATCTCCGGGTGTTCGTAAGGGTAGCATCTTTCCCAGTCACTGTCGCCATCTCCATTGACAGCAGTGTAAAGGCTGCCACCAATGACCAACGAAGAAGCCATGCCGGGCAG